TGTTTAGTTGTTTGTGAATGTAGTGTTTCATTAATGTTGTCATTAGCTTGGGAGTTTATAGCCAGTAGTCAACAGTCAACACTGCTGCATAAAATTTAATTACTTTTCTGTCTATTTACGTCTTTTAATGTTCAGAGTTGTACGCTTGAGGTAAGATGATACATATTAGCTTGAGTTGGGCCTCAGAGATTGCAAGAAAATGCTTCTTTGAGTGCCTCCACACAAAATAGTGAAAACTCTTATGATGGAATATTTACTGGCATGACAATTTGCATGGGATTAATATAACCTGGGGCAGGGTTTAAATTGTGGCAGAGGTCTTAAGGGGGACTATAAGGTGACATATAAACTGTAATTTGTAGATTATATTTTCACAACATATTTTCATGAGGTGTTACTCTGTCCTTTTTTCAGAAGTATGACCAAGCAGGAGTCTTTTAACTTCATATCTGTATCAGTATAAATGATTTTTGGAGTGACATGGCTTGGTGCACTATGTTAAGAATTAGGGCTGAGCTAGTTTACAGTTGATCTAGTGGGAGAAATTTAATGCTGAACATGGTGAAAAAGAAGCTGGTCACCTCGTTTGCAGGCATTAATTTTGTCAGAAAATTACAATTTTATTCAAGGAAATAACACAGGCACCTGCCAACTTCAGTTTTGTCTATCTTTTTTTTTGGGGGGGGCGGGGTCCCTTTACTATTATGAAAAGCCAATGGAATGTTTACTGATACAGGAGTCTGCAGTCTGTAGAAATAAAAATCACACTACATCAGGGTTGTCAAACTCAACCACTAAAAGGGCCATATTAAAAAATCTCAGCAAATCTGTGGGCGAGCTGTGTTTTTATATCATTTGTACTTAACATTTTGTAATGACCCAAATGGGCCACTGTTTATTTAAAATATGCCAAAACTGCAATAGCAAAATAGGCATTGAATGCTTATTCAAAAATAATTCAAAATAAAAGTACATTTTTTAGGAAGTTTTTTTTTTAAACTGCCTATTTGCTTGAACTAGACACCAGGCATCTTGTCTTTTTGTGTAACCGCTGGCCCATAGATTGTTGTTGGGGGAACGGGGTCAAGCAGTGCATGCTGGGGACTGTAGTGCATCTCAGGAAAAAACAGGCTAATAAGAATAGAAAATGAAAATCATTTTAGGGGGCTAAATAGGACTGTGTCACTGGCCTGAGTGGGCCCATCGGCCTTGTGTTTGACACATGGGCATTACGTTGTAATTATATTACATTATAAAACTTACATTATCCCACCTCGCCATGTAAATCTAATCCTGTCTGAATGATACTTTAGTGACACTAATATCAAACCTTTGATGTGTTATTTTATATTTAGAAACTGACAGTTTTATTTTGGGTGGTCATAAAAATTACATAGGGTTTTTGTGTTAAACTAGTGGTCACTCAAGTATTTACCCAGAAAATGTTTAAATACTAAAGTGAAGTAGGAAAAGCAAGTAAGTAAATGTGAAGGTGCTGCAGGTTGTCCACTTGCTCCATTCAGCGAGGCACTAAGTGCTCTACCACTGCACCATGGACTTCTAATTCAACATTAAACGCATTCAGGTCATGCCAGCACCAGTACACAGAGAGGGGGGACAGCACGTTCTCTTCACACACATTCAACACATTGCTTAGATCCCTCTTGACAATTACAGAGGCTAACTTGCCACCATGTACTTTAAGTTTAATGAAAACACGTTATATGTGCCTCAAGTCCCTGTGATACTTACATATTGACACATTGATCCTTTGTACCAGTGTGCCTAATGTGCCCACTGTGCTGTTGTACAGTAGCATTATTTGCATAATACCCCATGATCTAATCAAAGGAGCGGCTCAATGTTATGTTTAAGAACATAAGAGAAAGCTTAATATGACCCAGATTTCTGCCTTTGGCTGCTCTTGTTCCAAACGTGAAAGATACATGTATAAAACTGCAGAAGCCAATTAAAGAACATGGTTTTGTTAACGAAGCCTCCGAGTTTTTTCCCATTAAAGCGACTCTCCATCAGCATCACACAGCCGCTGCGGTTGCCTAGTGACCGACGCACACGAGAGATGTGGTACAAATAACGCGACCTTGTGAAAATGCTGTGTTCCACATGCGCATGAAAGGAGGCTACAAAAACTGTGGTCCTTTCTACAAGAAAATGCCAGCAGCCCACTTTGAGCTCTGCAGTGATGGAAGAAAATGCTCAGTCTGAACAGAACTGAAATAGTCAGGAGCTACAATTAGCAAGGAAACAGTTTCCGCTTGTCTTGAGCTGCCATTAGGAAGAGAGCGAGAGAGAGAGAGACCAAGAGAGATACTGTTTCATTATTTCCTTTTCTTCTTTCTGAGCCACTTATTCTCTTTTTCAAACATATCCTTGCCCATTGTCTTTCTTTTGCTCTCTCTCTCTCTCTCTCTCTCTCTCTCTCTCATTCATGGTGCTTTATTGGCATGATAACTAATGCCACATTTATATTGCCAAAGCTTGAATTATAGAATTGGAGAACACTGAAGGAAGGAAAACTGAGTCTGAAAAAACAAATGAAGACATAAATAAATGTACATGCTTACACCTTGTATCTACACTCATTGTCCATATTTTCAGCTCCACTTGCTGTATTGGTGCACTTTGCAGATCTACAATTGCAGACTGCAGTCCATCTGCATACTTTGCATGCTTTCACCCTGCTCTTTGATGGTCAGGACCTTTACAGGACCCCCACAGAGCAGGTATCATGTGGATGGTGGATCATTCTCACCACTGCAGTGACACTGACGTGGCGGTGCTGTGTTGCGCTGGTACGAGTGGATCAGACCCCTAAAGTAAAGCTAGTGTCACATTTTGTTAAAAAAGGCAAAAAATCAGAAAATGGGTATATAAGACATGCAGTAATCCATGAACTCATACAGATACAGTAATGCAGTAATTTTGTGTCAGTACAGCCTTCAGGGAGTGAATCACAGCTCTATCACTGCCGCTGAATCACTGTCAATCACAGTGAATCATTCTGAATCACTCTGAATCACTTTGAATGGTAAACACAGCTGTAGTATTAATGGGTTTTCCTCTACAGGAGATACTGAGTGTGTTCAATGGAGATGGGCAAGCTGAGTGTGTGAGGGCTCTCCTCATCCTGACATTACTTCTTACATCTCTCATCTCTCTCTCTCTCTCTCTCTCTCTCTCTCTCTCTCTCTCTCACACTCACACACACACACACACACACATCAGGTGATTACCTTTTCTCACATCCTGTTTTAGACAGAGTGTGATAGCAAAGCGATCTATCTATCCGTGTGTGTGTGTGTGTGTGTGTGTGTGTGTGTGTGTGTATACGCACACACACACACCCATACATACAAAAGCCTATGATCTGTCGTATATACAGAGTATATGGACAAAAGTATTGGGACACCTACACATTACGCCCACAGGAGCTATTATTATATCCAATTCTAAATCCATAGGCATTAATGTGGAGTTGGTCCCCCTTTACTGCTATAACATCTTCTCTTCTGGGAGGCTTTCTACAAGATTTTGGAGTGTGTGGGAATTTTTGCCTATTTATCGAGAAGAGTATTTGTGAGGTCAGACACTGATGTTGGAAGAGAGGGCCTGGCTCTCAGTCTCTGTTCTATTTCATCCCAAAGTTGTTCAACGGAGTTGAGGTCAGGGCTTTGTGCGGGCCAGTCAAGTTCATCCACACCAAACTCACCCAGCCATGCCTTTGTGGACCTTGCTTTGTGCACTGGGGTACAGTCATGAAACAGTAAAGGGTCTTCCCCGAACTGTTCCTACAAAGTTCAAAGCGTACAATTGTCCAAAGTGTCTTGGTCTGCTGAAGCATTAAGATTTCCCTTCACTGGAACTAAGGGTTCTAGGCCAACCCCTGAAAATAACCCCATAGCATTATCCCTCCTCCACCAAACTTTACAGTTGGCACAGTGCAGTCAGGAAGGTAACTTCTCTTGGCATTCACCAAATCTAGACTCATCCATCAGTCTGCCAGATAGAGAAGCGTGAGTTGTCACTCCACAGAATGCGTTTCCACTGCTCCAGAGTCCAGTGGCGGCAAGCTTTACTCCATTCCCCCTGATGCTTGGCATTGTGCATTTTAATCTGGGGCTTGTGTGTAGCTGCTCGGCCATGGAAAGCCATTTCATGAAGCTCCTGATGCACAGTTCTTTTGCTAATTGTTCCTTCCAGAGGCAATTTGGAATTTGTTAGTTAGTGATTTAACAGAGGATAGACACTGCGCTTCAGCACTCGCTGACCCCATTCTGTGAGTTTGTGTGGTCTGCCTTTTCATGACTAAGCTGTTGTTGCTTCTAGGTGCTTCCATTTCACAGCAACAGCAATCACAGTTGACAGGGGCAGATCTAGTAGGACAGAAATGTTGCAAACTGACTTGTGGCAGAGGTGGCATCCTTTCACAGTGCCATGTTTAAAGTCACTAAGCTCATCAGTATGTGTTCTACTGCCAGTATTTGTTTATCAAGGCTGCAATGCTGTGTGCTTAATTTATCCACCTGTTAGCAATGGGTTTGGCTGAAACACCTGAATAACTCACAATAATTAATTAACCAATATAATATGAGCATGCACACACACACATACACATATGTATATATTTATATGTGTGTGATGTAATATTATGTATGTATAAATGTATGCATTCATCTGTCTATCTATCGGTCTATCTGAAAAGGCAGAAATGACAGCCTTTGTGCCATAATGAGCGATTCAAGCACCAAATGAATTGAACTGAAATGAAAATTACATAGTTGGTAATCATCAGTATCTGGGGAAGTCATAATTCAGAACAATGCCCATTATCTGTGAGTGTGTGTGTGCGCACAAGTGTGTGTGTGTGTGTGTGTGTATGTGCATATAGACAGTGTAACAGTGAGTGTGACACAAAAGAAATACACAAAGGAAGAGAGAGAGAATAATGTGCTTTTTCTTGGGGGACTGAGAGGGAAGGTCAGGGCTGAGCAGAAAGAGGAGGAGGAGAGAGAAAGAAAGAGAGAGTGATTGCTTCCTCCCCATCACAGCTTCACTCCGGAGGTCTCCACACACGCGCTCACACTCCCGAACCTTCTCACACTCCACTCTTCAGTCTGACGGAATTGTAAATGTGTAAATTAAAGTAAGCCCAAAGTATCGGAGCTGAGCTGCTTTAGAGAATCTGGAGAGACTGTAAAGGAAAGAAAGAAGAACGAGGGATGTCGGAGGCAAGCTCCAGGAAGAAGAGCTATAAGAAAGGGAGGAGTGCTACTTTCAGTATCGATGGATTCAGCTTCACCATAGGTAAGACTCATGAGAAGAGAGAGAGAGGGAGCTTGTAGAAAAGCAGCTGGATGTTGTTTGTTGGTTTAGCTTGAATTGTATTGCAAAATATCTGACTATGAAACGTGTTGCTTTGGTTTGTCACTGAAATGGGTCACCAAAAGTTGTTATGGCAACCTGTAAAGACCAGTACTAGGTGAAATCTGAATGGTTGTACACTCTTAAAAACATACTGAAGGTTCTTAAATGGTTCTTGACTTGGATGTATGTTTCCATGGAAAAAAACCTTTAGCTGGTGTACAGCTTTTACATTATGTGGAGATCCTTTAAACTTCAGAGAGCGTCTTCTCACATGCTTGTATTTACAATTGTGGTTCTTTAAAGAACCAAAAACTGAAAGGTTCTCTAGGGAACCAAAAGTGGTTATGTAACAGTTTGTTTGGTTGTGAAGTTCCTTCAGTTCTTCTCCAGCTCAAGAAATGTCTGCTAGGTTGTATCCGTACTGCTCTATCTGTGGCGGTCCAGGGGAGCATGGGTTCCCCTTTTGGAGTTCTTGTCAGTGTTTTGGTCACACTTTATTTTGATGGTAGTGTATAGATTATCTACAAATGCTTAAAGGTGATATATATGACATTTTAAACTTGAATATAGAAAGCAAACAACTATTTTCTGTGTAAAGACAGTGGTGTAATGGCATCCTGAACAGAGAATGAAGTCACACCCCCTCAGTGTGTGCTGTAATCCGAGCTTCTCTGTTTTTTGTTTTCATAGCCGGTCCGGCTGCCCGTGCATGTTAGTCCTGCGCTATGAAAACGTTGGCTCTCCAAACGTTTTGTTTTGCCCTGCCTAGACACTGACGGCGCACATAGCATGCGTGCACAATTTAAGGCAGAATGGGAAAATTCGAGCAATAAGCTGAGGCACTGAATGTAGTCTTAACTTCTGCACCATTTAGGGTGGAACGGTAAAATTTGAACAAGAAGCTGAGTTGCAGAATGTCGTCTTAACTGTTGTACCTTTTAAGGTGGAACGGGAAAATTCGAACAAGAAGCTGAGGCTGCTGAATGTAGTCTTAACTGTTGTGCCTTTTAAGGTGGAACTGGAAAATTGGAACAAGAAGCTGCGGCTCTGAATTCATTCTTAACTACTGCAAGTTTTAAGGTGGAACTGGAATATTTGAATAAGAAGCTGAGGCTCTGAATGTAGTCTTAACTGCTGCAGCTTTTAAGGTGGAAATGACAGAAATTCAAACAAGTAGCTGAGACGCTGGAATGTAGTCTTAACTGTTGCGCCTTTTAAGGTGGAACGGGAAAATTCGAACAAGAAGCTGGTGAAAAAGAAGCTGACTTCAGCTTCATTGAGAGTTGAAATGCATGAAAATGGATGAGGAGGTTGCTCCGGCTGGACAGGTGGGTAACGTTAATGTATTTTTGCTATATTTTGCACAGAATCAGTAGGTTAGTACTGTTTTGTCCTGTTTGCGAATGTTTGTGATAACAACTGGTTAGCTTCAAAGCAGAAACTGTAGCAACAGTTTTCTAACCCACAATTAACGTTACTTAGTTAATTAGTAACTAACTTAATTAGTTAGTTAATTACATGCTGTGTGGTTGTTCACTCTGTTATATCATGGTATGTGTGTGTACAACGTTTGGAAAGGGTTTTATGGCCACAAAGATCTAAAAAAAGCAAGCAGGTTGTTCTTGACAATATGCATCCATGAATCTGGAGGGCGGAGCTTCGGAAAGAGCACTGAAGGGAGGGGTGTGTTTATTTTGCTGTTGAGTTCAAATATCCACACTTGTGCTGCAGAATCATATAGTGCTCCTTAAAATTTTTTTCACAAACTGGTGAAATTCCGTTGATTATCAACAGCTGTAGAGTTAGGATTAGGATAAGGGTTAGAGTTAGGATTAGGTTTAGGTGTTGGGGTGAGGGGAAATTTGATCTTAGACCAGTGGTCTGTGAGGTATTGTTATAACAGACGCAACCCCATCCTCCTCCTCGTGTATCTAGTGTCGTACCTACCAGTGATAATAAGTTCCAAGACCGGAAACTGGATCCAAGGTCCAGATATGAAGACCTCTGGCCTGTAGTAATGGCTTAATCTAACACAGCGTTTTGAATGTAGTGGTCTGCCACAAGTGTTTCCCAAGTATTTTTGGACATAACAGTTGAACATAGCATTTTTATAAGGTTAAAACTTCCATTAAGGAGGGCCTAATCAGTTAAGGCTACTGCAAATAACTTGATGACTTAGCAACTACGTAAACTTAAAGCCACACTATATAAGATTTGGAGACCTTTCTGGTAGAAATGTGGTGGAACATTTTGTAACATTGGTCAGACACCCTCCCCGAAGCGAATACATCTGATGATTGCGAACAAAATTAGAACACGCCGTCTTCCAAAGATGTACGTGAACTATCTACCAATGTCATCAAATTATTGTTTGATACTGAAACATTCAGGCAGACCTTCTTTTTAAGCCTGTGCATGTGACGTTACTATGTAAAGACGTATGATGTGGTCCCGTAGAATTAGTTAGCCACCACTGACTAATTATTATTTCAGGCTTTACAGGGTGACATCATATTTTAGTGTGTTCTTTTCCTCCTGACTCAATAATGCTACTTTCAATTTTAGCAGAAAAATATTACATAGGGCAGCTTTAACTTGCAACTAAGGCTAAACTTCAGTCCTGAAGCTCTTTAGTGGCTTTAGTGGACTCAGAAGTTTAGGTAACTTGTAATGTAATTATGTGAGCATGACTATGCCATGACCACCAAAATGCCCATGTGCACATACTTGTGGATTGGTTTCTCAGAGTGAGCATTAGTTTAAATGAATGGTTCTGTGAAAAATTAAACCATACTGTGTCCTAAACCACTTCAATAAGTCTGCACAACCTTAATGAAGACCTAGATGCAGTTTGAGAGACGTTTTGGAGAAGAATTTGCGGAGACAATTTGGGCAGCAACATTAGCCTTGTAGATTGAGCGCTAAACTTCAGAAGCAAAATTTGGACACCAAACATGTCTTGGCTGATCAGCAACATCTGGGGTACGTGGACAGTTGTGTACATTAGGATTTTTGCCAAAACATTTTTTTTAAGGTTTGGGAAATGCTATGTGATGTTAATAGATATGTAACTGAATGTAAGTGTTAGATCATCAATGTAAAGCAATAGCAGTGTTTTCTCCTCACACTCTTACAGAACTTTTCCTTTTGACTCTTGGTTCCTCTTCGTTTGCTTTCCTCATGCTCTCATTTTAATGCATTGAAATCGCTATACTCCTAAATAAAATTGAAGTGATTTCAGCATTAAACATTTTTGAAAGAATCCTTCCGGAAGAAAAACTTACAGCACATCCAAATATTGGAGAATTGGGGAACAACCTGAACAGCTTGCTAGCAACATCAGGACATGATTTATTTCTGTCTGGTTCCCTCCACACTCCATTGCCCATTAGAAGCTTATAAATATCTAAGAACTGGAACGGCACCAGCAGGACTGGCTCTGTAGAGGGGTCCGTTTGAGGTGACAACATGGGAGAGCGCCATGGCAACCAGAGATGGGGTTAGAGGGCGATGTCTCGCTCTTCCAGACACACGCGCACACACACCCACACACACAGTATGAACACTGTCAGACCTTTTAGTTGCTGGCACTTCTCCTGTTACTGTCTGGTCTCTCTTAGGGGGATCTTGCTTTTAGGCATTAGATTAAAGGAATAGTTTGGTGTAATAATCAGTTTCATACAGTTTTACCCTTAATCTAAATGTAGTTGATCAACCAAGACATAGTTGGTGTCCAATGATTCCTTTAGTTTTGCATTGGAGCTACAAGGCTAATGTAGCTAAAAAGTAATGGAAGCTTATAGCCACCCTTAGCATTGTGCAAACTGCATTCTTAGCTCTCCCGCTTAAAACTATGTTGAGTTGTCTCCACTGTATGACATCCTGTTACTAGTAAACATGGACAAAAGTGCACCACTTGGCTAACAACAGTGATAGCTACTATCTTGAAGACTAAATTGTATCTCTTACTTTTATTCAAATACTTTGCTTTACATATCTAAAGTTTCTTTTATTAATAAATCAAATGGAAGTGATGTGGCAAGTGAACTAGAAGGCTCTCATTTAGAGACGCTGCTGCCACTCATCTGCGATAAAATGCGCTGTTACCCTGAAATAAGATCCAGTGGTAACGGGTGTCCATACAGCATGTTACATCCTTCCTGCTTTCTTTAGTCAGTTTATAATTTCGGTTTTGGTCTCGTTGTAGAGAGAGAGAGGTGGTATTTTCGAGACTGGACGCTGAATCTCGGCTCCAAAGTGTGCAGCATAGCGCAAAAGCCCTGGTTCTCAACGACTGAGAACAGACAGCAGGTCACATAGCCCCGAAGTCTGGCCTCGCCAGTAGCGAACGAAAAAACAGATTAAGACGAACATTTGGAGGACTTATTCGCATTTATAAGCAGCGCGGTTGGTTAAATCTGCAACGAGAGACTGTCTTTCTCTAAAAGGTTGCGAAAATGAACTCGCTTCTCTTTCGAATTTTCCCGTTCCACCTTAAATGGTGCAGCAGTTACTAAGGCAGAATTAGAAAAATTAGACGGGAAAGTTAGAACGAAGAGCGAATGAGAAGCGACTTCAGCCTCGTAAAACAGCCGGATGCTGAGACATTTTACAAGAAACTCTAGTTTTGAAGAAAAGTTTTCTGGCGGAGATGGAAGCTTAAAGCAGAGTAAAGTAAATCTGCGCTCTCGTTTATATTTTTAGCCTAAACTAGGACATTAACACATACTGAGACATACTGGACATTAAATGTTGTGGCTCCCAAGGTGGTTTGATTTTTGTTGAAAGGACAAAATGGCTTTTCTTAACATTTGGGTTTGATCTAACCTGGCTTTTAATGCAGAGCTGTTCGGATTTCTCATTCATCCAGTGGTGTTTTTGTTATGTGTCGCCACAGACTGTCCGGGCGCTGCACTTACCCACTTCCAAGTTCCGCCTTTTGCATTCTGTCAACATTGCGTTATAAATTAAATATTTAGAAAATAATTTTTTGACATTTATGAATCGATTCAGAATCGTTCACGTCCGCATCGCGATACATCTAAGAATCGAGTTTTTCTCGCACCCCTAAAATATATATATATATATATAAAATGTGTGTGTGTGTGTGTGTGTATGTGGGTATATATGTATATATATATATAGGTATATATTAACAGATATATATATATATATATATATATAGGTATATATTAACAGATATATATCTGTTAAACTTATAATAGCTTATCCTTGTAGCTCCAGTGAAAAACTACAGAAGCAAACATGAGGCACCAAACATGTCTCGGCTGTTAGACTGCAGTTAGTATAAGGAGAAAATTGTGTAAATTCGATTTTTCACCACACTCTTCCTTCAAAGATGGGGTAAATGCTCTGTGTCTGGCTATAATCACCGGTAAATAAGCTTCCTCAGGGTTTAATATTAACTCAGAGCACTGTCCAGCATTGTAATATTTCATGCGTATAAAACGCTGCTATTTTGCTTCTTTTTGGTTTTTGAAGGCGCTGCAAGAAATAGTAATGGCAAAAAACTGATTGGTTGCAAAATGTAACGGAGCTCTATTCACACTTTCCCCATATAACACCCTCTGGCATTTTCAAACATCTGGCTGTCGCCATGGTAACGTGGCCCTGGCTGGGCAGGGTGGGGGTTCTCCGTGGGCGGTGTGTTTTCTGCTGGGTTTAGTGGAGCGTGCCTCGCGCCGCCTTCTCCTGATTCTCGGCCCTGCAGGACCCCCTGCCGGGGAAAGTGGGCTGACCCGGACCGCTCACCTATTTCATCCCACTGACTTTAACCTCCTGAGGCTTTCCTCTAATTATACAGGGGATGGAGCTGAACGCAGCTGGCTGTGACCAGTGGGATCGTGTGGGCTTTAATGCAAGGATGGAAAGGGAAGGACAGATTTATGGTGGACCTCTACACAAAATAATTTGCACTTTTTTATATTTTGCATATACAATGTACATATATATGTGTATATATATATATATATATATATACACCGATCATGCATAACATTATGACCACCTCCGTTTCTACTCTCGTTGTCTATTTTATCAGCTCCACTTACTATATAGGTGCACTTTGTAGTTCTACAATTACAGACTGTAGTCCATCTGTTTCTCTGCATACTTTGTTAGCCCCCTTTTACCCTGTTCTTCAGTGGTCAGGACCCTCATGGACCCTCACAGAGCAGGTACTATTTGGGTGGTGGATCGTTCTCAGCACTGCAGTAACACTGATGTGGTGGTGGTGTGATAGTGTGTGTTGTGCTGGTGCGAGTGGATCAGACACAGCAGTTTTTAAACACCTCAGTCTCACTGCTGGACTGAGAATAGTCCACCAACCAAAAATATCCAGCCAACAGTGTCCAGTAACCACTGATGAAGGACTAGAGGGTGACCAACACAAACTGTGCAGCAGTAGATGAGCTATCGTCTCTGACGTTACATCTACAAGGTGGACTGACAAGGTAGGAGTGTCTAATAGAGTGAACAGTGAGTGAACACAGTGTTTGAAAACTCCAGCAGCACTGCTGTGTCTGATCCACCACCACGTCAATGTTACTACAGTGCTGAGAATGATCCACCACCCAAATAGTACCTGCTCTGTGAGGGTCCATGGGGAGTCCTGACCACTGAAGAACAGGGTAAAAGGGGGCTAACAAAGTATGCAGAGAAACAGATGGACTACAGTCTGTAAGTGTAGAACTACAAAGTGCACCTATATAGTAAGTGGAGCTGATAAAATGGACAATGAGCGTAGAAACAAGGAGTGGTCATAATGTTATGCCTGATCGGTGTATGTACGTACGTACGCACACACACACAGTTACAGAGTGGGATGCTGAGTGCTGAGAAGCATAGTGCATAAAGTTCCAAACTTCCTCAAACATCAGAACAAAAACATGGGATTGGATTTCTATGGCTGGACAGCTGCATGCAGGCCTTACATCACCAAGCACAATGCCAAACTTTGGATGGAGTGGTGTAAAGCATGCTGCCATTGGACTTTGGAGCAGTGGAAATGTATTCTGTGGAGTGACAAATCACGCTTCTCTATCTGGCAGTGTTATGGACAAGTCTGGGTTTGGTGAATGCCAGAACAACGTTGCCTGTCTGAATGCATTGTGCCAACTAAAAAGATTGGTGGAGGAGGGACAATGCTTCATGGTTGTTTTCAGCGGTTGGTCTAGGCCCCTTAGCTCCAGTGAAGGGAAATCTTAATGCTTTCAGCCCACCAATCCATTTTGGACATTTATATGCTTCCAACTTTTTTGGGAAGGCCCTTTTCTGTTCCAGCATGACTGAGCCCCAGTGCACAAATCAGGGTCCATAAAGTCATGGCTGGGTGAGCTTGGTGTGGAGGAACTTGACTGGCCCTCACACATCCGTGACCTCAACCCCATCGAACCCCCTTGGGATGAACTTGAACAGAGATTTCGAGACAGGCCCACAGACACACTCCAAAATCTTGTAGAAAGCTTCCCAGAAGAGTGGAAGTTGTTATAGCTGCAAAGAGGGGACCAACTCCATATTATGGATTTAAAATGGGATGTCATAAAGGTTCCTGTAGGTGTAATGTGTAGGTGTCCCAATACTTTTGTTCATGTAGTGTGTGTGTGTATGTGTATAAGCACATATACACGCACACTGTGTATATGTACTTTATATATATTATATGCAATTATGATATACATGTATACATTATATACTGTTATTACTTATGAAGTATTTATTGCATATTGTCCAGCATAGTCTGAAGTTGCTGTAGGTATTGCTTTAAAAAGCAGTTTAAAAAGTACTTGAACTATTTTATACCAAATTAAATGAACGTGTGGGCACGTATATTTCCCACCCTGCACATAATGCAAGGGTTTTTCTATCTTGTACAGCAGTAAGCTAATAATCACACAGTGCTGATACACAGTTTTGCTGCTTCTCAGCTGCTACCTGTTAGACACTTGTTATGCTTCAACTCAACTTCAACCAGTCATGATGTCATGGTGCACGGACTATAGTGATCTTGGAAAACACAACTTAACTGAATGCTGCGGCTCCTCATATGCAGAGCAGCAGAGGAGGTTCCACCCAAATATTATTACTGTGGGAGGGTGGAAAGATTTTATGAAAAATAATCCTCAAAAATATGTATCTGATATATAGACCTTTTCTCAACGCCCCCCCTCTGACACCCTCTGATCTCACAAGCACCGGGTTGAGAATCACTGATAAATCATCAGTGTTTTATCAGTGATGATTTATCAGTGATTAGTCATCAGCAGTGTAGGCATCGCACATGTTTCCTCTGTTAGAAGGATTCTGTGGCCAGATCATTCTGATTGGTTCACGTTTTTAAAACTTGTAATGTGTTGTGATAGTTCTTAAAGAAACTTGAAAACCAATTGAATAGTGTCACTGTAAGCTCAAAGATACCATTATTATACTAGTCTACATTATAGACATATTAGTATACCACACTTTATACCTTCTACACTCCTTTTATGAATGTATGTCTATGTGAAATGATTCCTTTCACACTCCTCTTATGAATGTGTCTATGTGAAAGAATACCTTCCACACTCCTCTTATGAATGTGTCTATGTGAAATAATACCTTCCACACTCCTTTAATGAATGTGTCGATGTGAAAGAATACCTTCCACACTCCTCTTATGAATGTGTGTCTATGTGAAATAATTTCTTCCACACGCCATTTATGAATGTATATCTATGTGAAGTAATTTTGTAACAAATATAGTGTAAATTTTTAAAAACTCAGTTTGAAAGTTTTCAGCCTTCTTGATTTGTGTGTTGTTTTATCTTTTGGTCTATTGCACTTTGGCTGTCTAAGACAAAAAGTTTAGGCACCCCTGGTCAGTGTGATTGCATAAAGAGGCTTGTGGGCTGAACACCCCCTTGTATGATGTGTTTGTGTGGTGGGTTTTTTTCAAAGCAAAATGTTGTGATGCTTTCATGCATGCCATTTTATTGATTTCCCTTTAGGGAACGCAAAGCTTTGAAGCTGTGAGGCCTGTTTTAATAGTCGTAAAACACTTTCACACACAAACACTCTTACATCTCTTTACTCAGGCTGTTTCTATTTCTTCTCTCTCCCTCTCTCTCTCTCTCCAGTGGCTAATGAAGATGGAGAAAGCAACAGCAGGCCACTGGCAACGTTTGCACGTAAGTGTTTTCCCTTGAGAAAATGGAAAAAAGGCACCACCACCACCACCGTCACCAACAAAGGCAAAACAAACAGGAGCCGCAAATAGCACTGCTATCTGAATGCGATCATTTCTCCTCTCACACCCTGTTAAAAAAGGTGCAGGGTCAGCAGAGATTGTGGACCAAGCCAATGAGCTTGCCAAGTTCAAAGCACTGCTTGTTTGATCACTTAGTATAATCTCAGTAAATACGCTTAATATAGATTTAGGAGGGAATTGGCAGAGCTACAAAAACACAAATGCTGTAATGACTGCGTCTCACCACTAGATGGGGGCAGCGCAGCATTTAGGCACTATTTTTGTGGCCAGTGTTCCTAAAACACAGTGTGAGGGTACAAACTGTTCACTGTTTTTTTTTACAGACTTCTTACAGGCAGTTTCAGTAAAGATTAATGTCTGATTAAAACAATCCTGTATGACCTTTCTTAGCAGATCGCAGATCTACAGAATGTCAAGGTTTGTACATTGTAAAGTTTACAGACAATCAGTAAGCAAGTTAGCTTTGGTTGTCAACAGGCCAACTGTCATCTTAAAGTCAACCTGAAATCAAAATGGACCTTGTTTACCTTGTTAAATTGTAAAATTTTCATGTCCATGGTCTCATTAAGCGCAGTCCATTGTTTCATATTATTCAAAGGGCAAAATTCTTGATTATCTGTCAACTGTAGTGAGTTTTGCATGCCTCTAAATGCCGTCTGAGATTTGGTTGCGTCCCTGTGCTCCAGCGATTCTACGATTGCATCTTAGCATAACCCATCACCCTGACCAATCATCAAGCAAAAACACCCATTATCACCTCTGCTCCCGGCTGCACGAACATGTATGTCAGCAGACGACCTCCTTTCTTCTGCTCTCTTTATGTTCTCACTGTCAGTTTTTGGGCTGGTTGTAAAGTAACTGGAGACAAACTGTCACCCCAGAACTTATACATCCAATCCATAACCAAAAAGGCAACCCAGATCTACAAGGTCGCTGCTCATGCGCTTCTTTTATCATTCCAGCTGCTGCAGAAGATCACAGCTCTGCTGTGACCTTTATGAATAAGGACATAATAAATAACCCTCCTACATAGTTCATATGCATAGTTGCTGTAGGTTTTTTAAATATTTATTTTTTAAGTATTTATGTGCCAGATTGCCAAAGACAAATTTCCATTTTATGCAAATTTAGTGGACAACAAAGTTATCTTATCTTATAATCAGTTGTGAGTTATTTCAGTTTGTTTACGCTGAAAACCTGTGTGCATGTTAACAGGAGTGAGATATTTGGCAGAATAGTTTTCTAGTTTTCTGCTGTGCTGAGAGGCTGTGAGGGGGTGCACACACACACACTCACACACTCACACACACACACACACACCACACACACACACACACTTTTAGAAATAAAGGTATGAAACTGTCACTGGCGCAGTCCCACCTCTTGTCACTGGGGTGGTTCCCTCAAGGGTACATCTCAGTACCTTTAGTCAGGGAACGTAACTGTATTCCATTGAAATACTATTTTCCAAGTTGTACAGTTGGACTCCACACACCCCGTCTCGTCTCCAGGCTTTTTATTTTATTGTTCTGTTTAAAAACATTAGGCTATGAAAAGATACAAATGCATACTTTTCACCTGGAAAAACTTACTTTATAACTTAAAGGTGCACAATTGGACCTTAAAACCACTGCTGTACCTTTGAGGGAACATTTACGTTGTTTGTGCCTTGATGAACGAAAAACTGTGCCTGCACAGCACCTTTATTTCTAACAGTGTACAGTCCATATCTTGCTCAAATGTTGGGTATACACATATTTATTTTATGTGACTTCTTTTTTCCTCAAGTCTTTTTCTCCTGCTTTTGCAGTGAAAGGGTAAGAAACGTGAGAACAATGTTCATGCTCACAGGCTAGCCTGCTAAGTGGCACATCACCTCATCCATGTCTTAAAAAGTAAGAAGAAAAATACATATTTAAATCAAGCTTTGCAGCAATTGATGAATCATATTTTAGAAACTACAGTAAAAACACATCAGAATATTGTTGTACTTCATTTTTTGACAAAATCTACTTATTTTTATTTATTATTTTTCTTTAGCTTTTATGTAAAACAGACAAATCCTGCTGATTGTCTGAGGCCCAATCCCATTTCTTATTTTTACCCCTACCTCTTGTTTTCGGGAGTCACCTTGGAAATGAATTTTAAGGGGTAGTGCTTAAAATCTTCCTCTACGGAATGGGACGACCCTTAAACACAAAAGTTCATTACTTTATTAACAGGCTACTAGCGGTGCTCTGTAGGTGACTCTGGCAGTCTGCAGTGATAGCAGAGGAGGGTAAAGTTCAGCTCCTCACTGCTGGGTTTTAGTTACATTTAGCACATCATATGCCTTCAAAGAAGGGGGACAATTATTTATTATCGCCCACCGCTAATTCTTCAGTGATATGAAGCTGAAGTCAGCTATTCACCAGCTTCTTGTTAAAACTTTCCTGTTTCACCTTTAATGGAGCAGCAGTTACATTCTGGCACTTAAGCCATCAGTACTGCTGGACTATTTAAGGTGGAACGGGACATTTGGCTAGCTAGCTACTGAGACGTTAGCATACTATTAGCGATTTGTTTACGCTTGTTATGAGGTAAAGGATCATAATACATTGAAACGACATTAAACTAAGACAATCCAATGGTTATTGTAATTTTTAACTGAAAAAATACTCAAATTTGTGGTTTTCTTTGGTCGCTTGCGCCGCCATCTTGCCAATTTTTCTTTTTTTTTGTTTCCATTAACACTCCGTTTGGAGTGTGCCTCTGAAAAAGCTCCATTTGGAGAGCCATGTAGCCCTAACACTTCACCCTACCTTTCTATCTCAACAAAAATCGGGACACCCTACCCCCTGGGCATAAACGCCCAAAACAGAGGGGTAAGGGCTAAGTGGTAGGGGCAAAGGGGTGGAATGGGATTGGGCCTGACTCTGTGTTCATTCCAGAACATGCTTTTCCTGATCTAGTCAAATCCTGAAGAATAAATTCATGTCCCACCCACAGTTATTTCCCCCTTGAGTGTCCCGTTGCACTTGGAAATACTTCGCATTAAGGAAGAAAAATGCATTATGATTTTCAGTTCATGTTGACTTTAAAAGACATTGCAATGAAATCCTAAATCTTAGCCTATGAAAGCAAAACATCTTTTTCCTCTGATACGCCTCTGCCTTAAAAAGCACTAAGGGTATAATTATTTAGTTTATTATATGAATAATTGACCTTCATTAGTCTTACTTAGACATTTTACCTTACTTTTCAGTAACTTACGGCGCAAAACAAGCACAAATCTTCACTTGAGTCATTAGAGTGCTAAACAAATGAACATTTGAGAAAAACTCACAGTTGCTAGAAGGGTTTTGGATGTACTGTCTTCTTTCAAAGGTTCCAAATCCCAGAATGCACTGTGGAACTCCATCACTGCTGGAATGGGCGTCAAGGAAAAGGTCAGGGGTCAGAAGAGCATCCTTGATGACCCCCGCAGCCCTGAGGAAATACTGGCCGAGGATTTTCCACCCGCAGATGGACCGGATGCAATGGAGAAGACCGCCGTGAGGTTCAGTCACTTTCTTTATCTCTCTTGCTCTCTCCCACTCGCTCTCTCTCTTTCTCAGGGGTGCCTAAACTTTTTGTCTTGTGCAGTGCTGCGAAGTGTAATTTTGAAGGTTGGGCAGGGCCGAAAAGGCAAAACAGTATACGAATAAAGAAGGTTGGTGGGTTGTAATTTCTTAGGCTTGTGATTTCGCATGTCTCCATGGAGACACTTGGGTCAAGTTCACGTTTATCGACGAGGCACACAGCCTTGCTTTTAAATTCAGTGAAAGGATGTCTTTTCACACCAGTGATCTCTAAATGACATTTCGGATAGACTAGCTTGTAAAAGATTAGGCCCCATCGATAGACCACATTGTACTATCAATGTTTCACCTTTAAAAATCCTATTTAGTCCAAGCTTAGGCTTAATCTTGGTCTGGGAAATCGGCCCATAGTATAACGTTATAAAATAATTCAAATCTATGACCTTGTCTGCAATGCAGATGCAGCAATATATACACTCACTGGCCACGTTATTAGGTTCACCAACGTAGTATCTACAGTCACTGTCCATTTTATCAGCTTCCCTTACCATACAGGAGCACTTTGTAGTTCAGCCATTACAGACTGTAGTCTGTATAGTTTCTTTCTATACTTTGTTAGCCTATGTTTACCCTGTTCATCAATGTCAGGATGCCCACAGGACCCCTACAGAGAGCAGGTGGATGATTCTCAGCACTGCAGTGACACTGACGTGGTGGTGGTGTGTTAATGTGTGTTGTGCTGGTACGATTGGATCAGACACAGCAGTGCTGCTGGAGTTAGTTAAACACTGTGTCCACGTACTGTCCACTCTACTCTACATACCTACCTTGTTGGCCCACCTTGTAGATGCGTAGTCAAAAAGTCAAAAGAAATGAACTCATCTGTTACTGTACAATTTGTGTTGGTCATCCTCTAGTCCTTCGCCAGCGGTCAAAGGACGCAGCCTACAGGACGCTGTTGGCTGGATATTTTTGGTTGGTGGACTATTCTCAGTCCAGCAGTGACACTGAAGCAGATTTGCTGCTGTGTGTGATCAGCATTCCTTTGGGGTCCTGGACTGGGTTGCACCAGGTTTGCGTAAGTTTATACTTCAGTTTGGGCGTGAAGTCTTTACTAAGTCTTTAGCTACACTAGTTAGTTTCAAACTATCCTTTTATTAAATTTGGTTGCACCTTTGAAACGTGACGGCAGCTGCTCTGACTTTTTCAGTGGAAAAATATCCAGCATAGAAGAGGACGATGTGCACAAGTTAAACTGAATAAAACTAATTATCTACAGCCGCTGTCTGTTTATTCTTTAATATTTCCCTGAGAAAACCAAATATGCAGCTTTTTAAATGACAATTTCTGGATAACCGACACAATGGCAGCCTCAGTTTAGCCGTTTGGGCAGCTGCTGAGTCTCACTGAGCTGGAGTTGTGGGTATTCAGCTTCATGCTCGGTGTTAAAACCAGGGTGATGATGAGAGCTGTAAGTAAAATCGCAGTGTATAGCGTTTAGAGTTTTTGGCTTTGTTAAAAAAGTCATGTTTTTGGTCTTTTTTGTGCTTTCTATGTGGTTTCAGGTGGCTTCCCCAAAACTTACACCTGCTCAAGGGGAAGTGTAAATATTTAGTAACTGCTAAGCTCAACGTTAAAACTAGTTTGTGTGGTTCAACCCGTTCTGATTTAGTAATGCATAAACCTGAACTTAGTTACGTTACACTTACGTTACAACTAGCTGAATGTTACACACAGCTGGTGCAACTGGCCACTGACCTTTGAAAAACAGGTTAAAGAAAGGCTGACACAGTATGCAGAGGACTACAGTCTGTTATTATAGAACTACAAAGTGCTCCTATATGAAGTCGAGCTGATAAAATGGACAATGGCTCTAGATACTGTGTGAATGAACCTAATATTGTGACAAGTGAGTGTATAGATTGTTGCACCTGCATTGCAGACAATGTGTGGCATCAAGGGTCATAGCTTTAAATTATTATGTGACATTACACTTTTGGCCAGTTTCCCAGGCCAAGATTAAACCTAGGCCTGGACTAAATAGGATATGAAACTCCACTGACATTACAGTGTGGTCTATCGATGTGGCTTAGACCATGCGATGCCCTAAATGTTTTGTTACTAAAACTAAAAAAATACATTTATTCTCTCATTTGGAGAGGTGAGAGGAAAACGTGGTTGCTCCAGTGCTGCTCTTTGATGGCTCAGGAGACTTAACAGGGATTTTCCTAAAATTCCTTAGGAGAAGTAGCATTAGACAAAAAACAGACTTTTGCCTGTATGTCTGTATTCTTCTAAAGGAGACTTTGGCAAATTGTCATGTAAAAGTGAGTCCCAACCCTCGCCTGGAGGCACACAGCCCTGCTCATTTTAGTTAGTGCTGCTTTAACATACCCACTTCAACTCAGTAAGGGGTTGTTAATGAGCTGATTAGTTGGATCCGGTGTGCTGGGGGCAGGGAAAAACACTGACATGTTCAGGGCAGTGTGCCTCAGGACCAGGGACTGGAAAACACTGGTGTAGAAAAACTACTGAGGCCCTGTTCGTGCTTGGTTTTAACATCCATCTTGAGTGATCTGGTCTTAAGTGGACAGTGAGACATGTAGCTCTTTACACCTGCCATTTCTATGTATCTCGAATGTGTCTCCAGTGATTGGATTTTGGGACTGGAGGAAGGGTACCACTCCTGTTTACCGTGTCAGTCTCGGTGTCAGATGAAAATGCACCGCCAGTCCATGTTTGTATAAATGAAAGTGCTGCTATAAATGTTTGCACCACATGAACTGATAACGTGACATAGACCAATGGTACAGGATATGAAAAATTCTGCTACGCAGCTGTCGTCGTCTTTGCCATTATGACGCAGCTGATTAAGGTGGTCATTTAATGCTGTCGAATTCTCTTCAGATGCTTTAGCTTGCACACCACTAATGTTACGTGGTCATATACGTCCCTAACCGCCTCCCAAGGTGGTTTGAGTGATTGGATAACAATGTACCCTGCAAAAAATGGTATATTATGAAGTGAAATGATCTTAAAATCTAGTCGATATATATCTAGTCAATGGTTGTGCACTTATTATAAGATTGTCTAGCTTATTTCTAGACATTATTTACTTGTGTTAAGTAAATTAAAGTCAATTATTTAATTTTGTTCAGTAAAATGATCTCACTATACTGATAGATAGTTGCTGGCTTAAAGCACATTTCTTAAAACAAGCAAAATTATCTGCCAGTATAGTGAGATAATTTCACTTAATAAAATTACTTAAAAAATGTATAAAATGTCTACAAATAAGCCAGACAATCTTGTATTAAGCTTAATCTCAACATAAGAAATATTAGATTTATCAACCGTATTTAAGATCATTTTAGTTTACAAGATACAGTTTTTTGCAGTTCATCTCCAAATTGTACGCCGTTCACATCTGCGCTTGACACTGTCCACTTTTGATTGGATCACCCAGGCCAAGTGTGAACGGGGGCCTTAGATACTAAGGAGATCTGTTCTTCTATTTTTCTTTCCTATGAGGAAGGGACAGGGCATTAGGGCAGTTTTCTGGTGGACCAAATGCCCTTGGGGGCAAACTTTATGTGGCCCTGCTCTCTCTCTCTCTCTTTCTCTCTCTCTCTCTCTCTCTCTCTCTCTCTCCTTCTCCTTGCTTTCTTTCTGCTTTTGGCAAAGAAATTCATGTTTTGCATTTGCACACAAATTTGGCTATTGCTTTATATTTGCACACAATGGTTTGACCCCTCTGCCCCCCCCACACACACACACATACGCGGTCTGGGCTGACCTTGTTACTTCTGATGGATCTAATTAACAAGCTGTGTCCTTCTCCGCTGATGCATGTTACCTACTTACTTCATTGGCGTCATTCGATGCTGTTGGTTTGGCCCCATTTAAATACACACCCACACACGTCCACACACACTGTGAATGAAGGAGTTTGCACAGGGACAATTGATTCAGTGTGGTTACGGAAAGTAAGCAATGAGGTCATTTGTTGCATATTGAGCAGCGAGCTGCGTGCGACAGGCTTCACTCTAGAACACACTGATTGATTGGGCCAAATGCCACCGCTGTCATGATGTGCTATTTGGAATAATAGAATAAAGTACATGCTTTGAGAGAGAGAGAGAGAGACATGAATTTCAACAAAGCTTCCCCAGGAAGCCCCCTCAGTGGCCTTGGGGGGTCTATACTTTGTCCCTAGAGTGAAAAGCACTAAAGCTACAAGAGCAAAATCAACAACTACATCCAGCAAATGCCAGAAGGCAGCCAGTCCTCCTGATATTATATGGGTATGTGCATTTTGATAGTAGGTTTCAGACGCTTGATCTCTCTTTTTGGCGCTTGAATGACAACTGGTGACATGATAGCTGGGTTTCTTTTTACATTAAGTTTTGCAAGCTTAAAAAAATCAGCTCATTTTCAGTAAGTTGACTTAATGCAGCTAAAGCTTTAATGTAATTTCCTGTTAAAAACCTAAGATATAAGTTTTGCTGTATCAAATAAAAAAGTTATGTTTAACACATTTCAAAGCAGAATTTCATCAGTGGTCATAACATACAGATAGTTTACCAATATTATCTAGTTTCTTATAATTCTGTATATCTTATATTTTAGCTGAAGTTCAAGCCAGGAAGAGTTTTGCTGACCTTTGTAAAATACCATTGATAACTGCCATTTCCATCACCTACTATTTTTTATTTGCAGCATATCAAGAAAGCTGCAGCTGTCTGTTGTTTTATCTCGGCACAGTTGTCTTTGTGGGGTATGAATTGTATGAATTGTTTGTCATCAGCCCTGTCCTTTATCCCTTATTGCTAACAGATTATTGATTAGAGTTATATATATATATAAGCTCACTTTTTTTCAAATGATAACATGTATCATTCTCAGTACTGCAGTAACACTGACATGGTGGTGGTGTGTTAGTGTGTGTTGTGCTGGTACGAGTGGATCAGACACAGCA